TTTTTCAATTGGAATCAATTTTTGAACCGAGTGATTTGAGAAAAACTACATGTGTTAGGCATGCATGATGATATGGATACTGAGGTTTTGCTTGGCTCGGTGTTGATAGCTGTGTCGGCTCCATTTTGATGTTCAGCACTCAGTTGAAGGAATTTACCTAGTCTGATGTTTGCTTTGTTCTCATACATGCTATATTATATTTTGAAAACCATTCGGGAGAACATCTTGTTATCGGCGAATGCTTGTTCTTTTTGTATTCTTTGTTTTTGGTATTTTCATAGATTTATCCGCAAAACTTAAACAAATGCCTTTAAATATATGTAGAATTGTTCAGAGAAAAAATCCATAAATTCAATTGCCTAAGAAAATAACTTATTTTACAAAACCATGAGAACTGTTACAAGCGAAAATAAATGAAACTAATGTAAGTAGTTAGTTCCAAGTTTACAAGCACGTTACAAGAGCAAAGGTACCTATTATACTAGTGAGTTGCCATACCGATATACGTATTGTGCAAACAAGTTACAAGCACACCGTTATTTATTATGCAAGTGGGTTTTGAGTCCTCATAGATATCAAAGCAAACATTCAAAGAAACAAGTCATGTTGCTCGAACTGTACATACTTTGACAAATATTTAGTTTTGATAAACCAGTCTTTACCACAATATATTAGAAATTTTATAGAATAACTTTGTTTTAATTCTTTATTATTCCTGGAATGGTTATCAATTAATATAATGACAATATATAATACACAAAACAGGAAAAGACACACACATACATGCACACGTGCATCTTGCACGCAGTCTCATTTGCCACGGTTTAGGCTAACACAATTAACAGTGTATATGAGACATGGCCTTCGCATTATTACAGTATTAGTTCCTGTTTTCCGCATTACATAAGTTACAAGCACATGGTTGAGGCCAATGTTTGAAGAAATTGGTTCTCTTTTTTGTTTAACTTAGCAGCATATTTTTCAATGTTCCATGCGTTTCAATTACTTGCTTAAAATCATAAATGGGACAATTTGGCATGTCGAATCTGCAAGTATAAATTGTAATAATTAACCCAAAAAAGCAAGGGATTACACCAAAATGTCAAATTGTTCGAAAATGGATATCTAAACAAAGTGCAAAATATGAAGCAAATGATTACCAAAACTTTGACGTAATTTTGCAGTCGTAGAATATATGTTCAATAATTTAGTTCCCACTCGTACAGAATGTGCATCTGTCCTCATCTAATATGTTACATCTATTCAAAACGTTATTAGTGACATTATTCTATAAATTAATTTCAAATTAAAGAGTTCAGTTTTGTAACCTTATTGCAAAGTTTTACAGGGCTATGAATCTTAGACCACTCCTCACAACTTATATTTTAATTTAACTAATTGCATCCACGTTTCTTGTTTAGCAGTGTCCTCTTTACATTCTTATAAAACAAATCTTTGTAAACAAACTATAATGAGTTTTGTTTTTGAGAGTTCTTTATTTTATCCATCTGCTTTTAAAACATATTTTGAGCCAAGTGGTTATTGCTTCTTTCCAAGATTTTGAAATTTTGGATATTAATGAAAAGTATTTCAAAAACTTGCCACATATGATTTTTAGTGTAGCATTTCAAAAGGTATTAAAATACCCCGATTCTCAACTAAATCATAAAGAATTTCAATGCCAGCATCTTACCAGGCTTTATATTGATGAAACATTCTATGAGGAACAAAAGTTTGGTTTTTTTATATAAATAAAACTCATGAATATTCATTTGGCTTTTTTCCGGATTCTCTTTTCAATTCAATAGTTCCAAAACTAAATCTCTCAAACAACTGTTTTTAACAAGGTTACAAATTTCTTCTAATTTTTCCTCTCCAAATTCCAAATATCCTATATAATTCTGAATAAAGTTATGTTGACTAGATTCTGTCAGGCTCCAATCTCCTCGTTTTAAAGTAATTTTTCTTATTATATCTGATCAAAGAATAAATGTGTATCATATTTACTGCTTTCTCATTCTCCGGGGACTCTAGCATGTCACGTTTAATTCTCTCTACTTTTCCAACCCATGCAAACTTAAATACGACACAATTAAGTTCGTCTTCAATTTTTGCTAATGCGGTTTGAAATGAGGAAAAAAGATGTATGAATACAGGCAGGAAAAAAGACTTTTTACAGCAAATACTTTACCTACTAATGAAATATGTCTTTGACTTAAGTTTGCCAGATTTCCTTTTGCCTTTATTGGGGTTTTTCCTATAATTAATTTCCACCATCTGTTGCAAGTCTAGAGAAACATCAATGATAATGTTGGAAGAATACCAGTTTAGTTACATATTGGTAAATATTCTTTCATTAGAAAATGTCTTTCTCCAATTGCAAATAGCATTTGCTTTTGTTTTTGTTATGTTACTTTTAAAACCAGATAATCGACAAAAGTCTTGCACAATATTCAAAGTTGCTTTAACAGAATATTGATATCCCTCTAGAACAATGAAAGCGTCATCAGCACACTGACATAATTTATACTCATTGACATCAAAATCGAAACCATGTACATCCGCAGTTTGCTTTAACTTTATAACTGAACTCAACAACACCGATAATAAACAAATATGACGCAAGAGAATCTCTTTAATAACATCCTCTTACAAGGCTAAAAATTGAAAACATATTTCCATTATTTATAACGCAAATTTTAGAGTATTTTTGCAAAACAGCTTAAACCACTTACAAACAGATCACCAAAGTTAAACTATCGTAAAGATGTTTTCCACAAAGCTCTAGTTGATTTAGTGGGCGGGGGCTTTGTCGAAGTCTATTGACAATAACAAAACCGAACCTATTTTTATTCTCTAGTTGATTTATAATATCATATGTTAGTCTGGTATCTTTCTCAGTGAATCCTCCTTTCATAAATCCTATGCACTCTGATGATTGACTGAAAAACTTTTTTAAACCTAGCTGCAATATGTAGCTCCCAAAATTATCTTATAGTCAATATTTAGGAGTGATATAAGTCTCAATGTTTTCAATATATTCTGTCTTTGTCTGTTTAATGGACATATTATGACTCCTTGAGTTTAAAAATCTCAAATAAAATAACTTTGCGTACACCAGCATGGTACACAAGTCTTAAAATGTAAAGACACGATAGTAACTGCATTTCCCATACATCTATGTATCAATTAGATGAATATTGTTCTGATTATTTCTGTGCTTTATAGGGGTTTTCCCAAATATTGTTATGTCTGTCCAGATAATCATATTCCATTTACAGGATAGACATATTGCTGTCGATGAACTCTTTACTGGAATATATTAAGCTTTTTTTTCTAACTTTGGATTGTAAACAGCACCAGATCTCTAAGGTTCTTAATTTTGAATTCATCTTTATACTAGAAAGTTTTATTGATTTTGGAATGTCTCAAAGGAAATCTTGAACTGATGGGTTGTCTCAGTGTCCGAATGCTGAATGACACTATTGATTATTTGATTTGAATTGGGACATTGGGGCAGTCTATAGCAATTTGTAAATTCGATTTACAAATTTCGAAGTTTCTGACAGCGGAAATTACTCAAATCTGTGGAAGCTGAAAGGTGGTGAATACTGATTTTGCGATTGGCTTAGTTCATTGTTCAGTAATTTCCATATAAATTAGGTCGTTGCTAAGAACATTTCCATTACGCCACTCATGAGTTCATCTTTTATTTTTATAATGGTTAGTTTCTTTGTTAAAAAAAACCAAACACTTTGCAGTTTGAATTAGGTTTATTTTGTCTGATATATGGTTCATTCTATGATTCAGTGAAATGTCATCGTTCACAAAAGCCTATGCATAAAGGTTAACGTCATAAAAGCTCGTCGAACGATTAAAGTTTTACAAAATGCGTCACTATGAATTTCTGCAAAAATTGATCTGCTGCATACTAAACTTTTTTATTATAATAATTTGGTTTAATTTGAACAGTAAAATGTACGGAATAAATCTAAACCTAACGCTCTCATTATCTGTTTAAGATGGGGGAATATAATCTTTTAGAAATCTTCTATAAAGGTGTTTGTAGAAAGCAAATCGCAAGATGGTTTTACATAGCGCCAAACTTTTCAGAACATTGTAGACTGTAGCAAAGGTTCTCATTTCTTCTATATATATGTATGACAACTGCCAAGGCAAGTAGATCACTGTATAGAATTCATTTATGAGATATGTTATAGCAAATGAGATATAATGATTTAGATCTTTGATTGAACCATCCGTTTAGGGAAACAATACAAAGTTTGTTTTAGTCTGTCGTAAGAAGATGCAATCGGTGGAAAGCTTTTCAGATAATAGCACTAATGATCGATTTACTTTGCATCAGCTTTGATATCATTTCAGTCTTGACAACTACAACGTGTCACTTTGATTTAGAACACGAAATGTTAAGGGATTTAGGTAATCATAAAATATGGTCTTAAATGTATTTTACTTATTGCAGTCTTTGCAGGCTTTGTTATTATAGACACGAACATATTTATATGTGAGAAATGTAGTGCATTAGTCATAGTCATTAGTTATTTGATTTTTAATGGACAAAATAGTTTTATTTCAGAACGTTTTGCACATCAAAGTACATGGCCCAAACTTTGAATGAACGCTTTTGACGTTTTGGTTTCAAAAATGGTCTCTGATGAAGTTTAACATCTCTTTAAAGACGTTCAATGGTAGAATCAATATTTTGATTTTACTTACAATGTGAAACGTGTGTGTGTGTGTGTGTGTGAATTGGACTTTTAATATAGCTTTAACAAATTTTCAGTCATATCGCTACGATGTCTGCAATATGGCAGTTTATAGTGATGTCAAGCACTGAGGCATCATGCACCAGACATGTAGCATTATGTCCTACCCAGTCACATTATTCTAACACCAGGTCAACCAGTCATCACACTAACCATTTGATGCTGAGTCCCAAGCAAGGCAGCTGTTAGGGCCAGTTTTATAGGTCTTTGGTATGAATCGGCCCGGAATCTAACCCTTGACCTCCCGCTTTTGAGGCGGACGCTCTAACCACTAGGCTACCCGAGCATTCACATTGTAAAGGACTATGGATTAATTATAAATTCCTGTTATCTTCGTGCCTCTAAGCCTATCCTCATCTAAGGTCACGAAGACGTTGTAAAAGAACATATCCATCCTACACAGATGATGTTGACCAATGAGTTTCATTAGGTAAAGAAGTCCAATTGTAAACTGTTAGATCAGAAAGTTTCTTGTTTAGTCTACTTTGTGGGAGATTCAGAAAATACAGACCACCATTTGTGCAAATTCAGAAAAATATGTTTCAAAGAATAGCCAGCTATTTATATATCAGGAGTTAATTTTGAAACCATATTAGACGGAAGAACATAATATCGTAGAGTAACACTAAGGCTAACATCAAAATGGTAGGCGCTCGGGTGCAGTGTCGTTAAGTGAAACCCCATACATTTTGCAAACCGAAAATATTCATCAAGTAATTACTTATACAAGCTTCTGTGAATATTAATCCTTCGATTACTCAAGGGATTAATTACATAAGTATACAGAAATATTTCATCTCGAAAGCAATTAGCGAATTATTAATTATACAAGCATATGCAATAATGTATCCCGAAAGTACTCATCGAATCAATTATACAAGCTTATGCAATAATTTATCCCGAAAGTACTCAAGTGATTAGTTACACGACAAAATATTTCATCCCGAAAGCATTTATGGAGTGATTAATTATACAAACATATATAAAATATGTGTTCATTAATTATTCAAGCATGGGCAAATAATTTAAAATCTCATTTATTTCACTACTTTCTCTACTAATCGATGTCCTTTACTCGGTATAATTTTTAGTTTTGAAATGAACATGTTTTATCTTATATTTACTGATTATCCTCTTGAGTATCTTATCAATTAATAAACATGTAACATGTTTGCAGTATTATGTACTTAGGAGATATACTAGTTAACTTTGTAGTAAAAAAATGGTTATGGATAGGATATTGCGTATCCAGAGCATTATGATGCTGTTCAAAAGTTTTAGCAATTAAGCGTGAAAGTGGTCAATGAAACGCATTTGCTGCTTCCTTTAAATAACCCAGCTGCCTTTTGAGGTTGAACAAAAGATTTCATTGGCACATAGTTGTTTCCGGCTTTTGACTAATTTCCTGAGGGTTGATTACATTACAATGGGACATGATTTACTGTTCATTTACTACGCCCTTTTGCATTACCAACCACATTCCCTAAAAGCTGCGGATCCAGAAATATTGTTTCGCATCTCTTAATGGAACGTAAACAGTTAACCGATGAGTCTGTGGGGCAGAATACATTTAGAGATCCTTCGAAGCTCAATAATGTTAAGCATTTCCAGGGCAAAGTTTATTCATCTAGCTGTAAATTTACTACAGTAAACTCCGGTTGTTTCGCACAGTTTTCAGAGGAATGAGTGAGATGTCATGTGTTAATTCCACTTATGATGCTTATCTAATGAAAATTACTAAACCAAACGATAACACGAACTTAAATTATTAAATTATTGAACATGCGTTTTCGGATATGTCATTGACCGTAACATTATATTTCTTAACTTATGTAAATATAACTGAGACCGACATTTATCAGGTCTTATTGTAATGTAGTCGGAGTACCGTACAGAAAAAGCATCAACATTTAGACAAACTACATTAGGCTAATTTACTTGCTATATTCCATAACATGGCATCATTACATAGATTGAACATAAGTTTTGCTTCCATACGCAAAAAGACCCTAAGTTCTCATAAGAGGCTATATGGGAAGCACTGTCCATGCTGGTGCTTAAAAAATACGTAACCTATAGAAGAACAAAGGCATTGTGGAACTGCTGCTCTTCGTGTTAGTCATTTCTCGTTCTTCAAGTGAACACGTTTCCATTGACCACAAAAATGATAGACCTTGTATCATTAAGATATGGTGTTGCTAACGATGTCCTCTTTTTCTAAGATGTAGAATAAATTAGATAGACTCTAAAATTAACTTCTACATCCGGTCAACAGATGATCACTAACTAAACAGGAAAACCGAACACGGAAACCACAATAATTAGATTTATAAAATTCTGATTTTAGAAGGTTTATAAACATTGACAATTCGGCTCTTGTCAAAGAACTGTACTGGAAGTACACAATCATCCATAATACTATATAACTTTATATACATGTAACTAGTTGGATATTGTCAGTCTTCATTCAAAACTGTTTATCACAAACACTTTGCCTGACACATGCATATCTAACCTTAGTCTTGTAGTCTTCGTGTAGATGTTACATTCATCGTTAATTGATGTTTGGATAAACAAACAATCATAATTTACACATTTTTACACACTGAGGTTACGAGAAAACCAACTTGATTTAACCATTATTTAGTTGCTGTTTGATAAGAAACTGTGCACACTAGCTGTGATATTTGTGTTATTGTGCCAGAGAACAAATTTTAACGACTACCGTAGTGCTTGTAAGGTTGCATCCTTTACCGTTTTCACAACTGGTAATGCAAACCACTGTATAATCTTTGTTAGTGCGTTGTTATCAGCTGATCCTGTATATCTGAGAAATATGGCCATTACTTTGTAATGGATAACTAACATTAAGTGAACTGGCACAGTGAATAATAATAAGCTAGACAAACCTTTTAATGTGAAAGATGGTCTCAAAATAATTTATGAAAAGAAGCAACTGATTGTCGTAAGCAGTGTTATTGCTCATTGCAGTTATTATTTGCAAATCACGTATAGTATAAGAATGACAGTAAATGAAGGTGACAGCTGTCACTAGTGCTGTGATGACGCTTGACACTAGTGCCACACGCGTAATAAGTATGTCAAAACAGAGAAAAACACGTCCTTCACACGTGTTGGCTAGACAGAGAAAATTCGGCCTGTTACTCTTAATTGTCGAACAAAATTTCAATAAATCTCACACATTTGATAGTGTTAAGAATATATGGTCCTCAACTAAGTGACGGAAAATTGCAAAAACCAGCATGTTGTATAACATTCAACAAAATAATTTATTTTCCTGGAATGTAACTGTAATTTTTAAAATAACTTACAAACTTGTGAATTAAATTTCAAAGATTCTTAACAGTTCCATTAACGTTCCAAACGTATAGTGCTCCGAATTAATTCCGGTGCTGTTCCGAATAAATTCCAATAATGAATTTGCTAATGTACCGTCAGTCTGCAATGTTGTGAAATGCTAACAGACTTAATGTATCACAATGATATAGTCCAGAATAACTTTAAATAAACTTACGATAATTCCATACTAATTATTTACTCCGATTGTGTCAATAAACACTTTGTAATTTCAATGAATAATTTAAATCAACAATCCCTCTTAAATTATCAATGAATACAGCTAAAAATTAATTCCTCTACAGATGCTAAGATATGAACAAAAAATTCCGATGTGAATAACCTTAAAATAAAAATCTCAACCACAATAAGAGGACTAGGATGAGGGACAAATATATCATTTCCACAACATTTTAGGTTGTAAGCAAGATCGGATCTTTTGCTTAATTACATGTACAATGCAAAATGATTTATTCTTTATTACTCCCTTTTGTATTTTCAATTGCATCGTCCAATTTTAAATTAAGTGTGAGTTCGCTGGGTTGTTTATCAGCATTTGATCATATAATTAGCGATCCCATGCCTACGAAAAGAAAGCCTGGTCATGTATCGAGTCCCGAAACCCTTGAATTACGCTCTGCTAAATAGCTACTGAGGTTAGTGAATCTGACCTATAATGTATTTTGATGTATATGTAATTGCATTGCTTGTGTGTAAGTTTTAAAATTCTTTTTTATTTGGTTTTGTTTCATTACATTTTACTGTAATAATTATTGAAAGGTTTCAAAATTATTTGATATTTTCTCTGAGCAAATGTTGTTTATTTTAAACGGAGAAGTGATACATGAGAATTAGTTTTATTTACAATACTTCGTCTTCAGCTGGTAAGAGTGTAAACAGGCAGTTAAAATGATTAATCACTATCAGGGACATACTTTCCTTGCGTGATCACCATGTAAAAAAATGGTTTTAAATGGGGTTACATTGAATTTATTGTACTAGGAGACTACATGGCCAATCTCGCGAGACTTGAAATGATGTTTTTGAATTTAAATACGCATTATTAATATTCCTCTGGCAATATCGTCTTAATATCTTGAAGGAATATGTTGTTATTTTATTTATTGTCAGATTGTGTGTTTTTCGTATGATTTTTTTGATTTAATAATTTATTATCCAGGAAACTCAACAAGTTGACCTTTTTATACAATAGTTTGAAAGATATTTATTTAAATTTATTCAGGAATTATTCGGGAACAAAATTTGTGATTCAAGTGATAAATTGTTGGTATTCGTGCATTAAACCACATCTGTCGTCATCGCCTTTCATATCTGTAAATCATCGAGACTCAAACCTGGATTCTAATAAAACTATTTAGTAATAGGACTTGTGTTTTCATTGATAGGATCAAATTTTGGATTATGTTCTTAAACTGTAAGTCTTATTTACCATTTTTACATTGTTTTGTATGAAAATATTTTTTTTGTTAAATTATGCTAAGCTTCTTGACTTCATTCTTTTTATCTGTTCATTCATTTTACAATCCTAAACATAACAGTTTCATTGACACAAACAACAACGACAACAAAATGATAAAACCATGGTAAACTCATATTCTGAAATAGTGTAACAAATATGTTGAATAATATGGAATATTACAATCAAAATCTAAATGTACCTTAAACGACACTTAATGTTACATTTTACACTTGTCATATGTTTGTAACATCAATGACGTTCCAAATGTGATTCTTATATGCATGTTATTTTATGATTTTTTTACAGGCAGATTGGTACATTTCGACTGTGCATTGTGTAAATTTAGAACGGATCGTCATGTTAAAAAAATGCTATTTAGATAGTGTCAGGTACTATCATTGACCAAAGGTCTGTGCATTGTATTAGTAAAATAAACTAGGAGAAGACAAAGAG